CTCGTCCTGCTCGTCCTCCTCCTCGTCCTGCTCGTCCTCCTCCTCTTCATCGTCGTTATCCTGCTCGTCCTCTTCGTTCACAGCCTGCCGGCGTTGCGCGTTCACCGCGTCGGGGCGTCGCTTCGCCGGGTCTCGTGCAATGGCGGCAGTTGCTGTGGGTGTGCGATCATCTTGTGCGGCCTCTGCATCTTCATCTTCGTCGTCGCTCGAGCTTCCTTGCTCAGCGACGGGGTGGGATGGCTCGGCGTTGCTGGGAGCGGGTGCTCTAGGCACGTAATCGCTGGGCGTGGAGGGGCGGCGGGTCTGCCTCGGCGGCAGGTCCGATTGATTGGGAAGTGTCTCGGCACTTGACGTCCTCGGCCGTTTGTGAGGGCTCGGACCATCACGTTCGGTTTCGTCTTCCTGGGACTCGCTCCCCGGGCTCTCGGCGGACTGCCGCAGTCTTTTCCTGCGTGGCGGCGCCTTGCCTGCAGAAGCGTCGTTCAGAAGCCGGAGTGGCGGCGCAATGGGACCCGTCCTTGCCGACGGGCTCGAGTGGGAGGACAAGGCGACATCAGCGGCGCCGCTCGCGCGCCACCGGGCCAGAGCCAGCTCGGCCGAGGGACTAGCTTCGCCAGAGGTCACGGAAGGCCCACGCTCGTCATCGGAGCTCTGTCCGGCGGCACGACGCCGCCTACTGCGCGCACGCTCTGGGTTGTGTTCCTCGGAATCTCCCTCGTCGGCTCCGGGGGGCGTTGCAGCTGGACGGCGGAGCAGGCCGGGGAAGGTCGGTCGTGGACCGGCGGGCGGGAGGGCGGCGGAGGGGACGACCATGCCGTAGGCATCGCGCTGGAGGCCGAAGTGCTTGATCGGGGTGCCGTCGATTTCGAGGACGGCGTTGCGCACGCGGCAGCGGGCCTCGGGGGAGCGGGCCTTTTCGCGAGCCCACTCCAGGGCGGCCAAGATGTCTCTGCGTTCGACGGGCGAGCGGGGGTCCTGCACGGTCGAGCTGGTCGAGTGCTCGCCGATGCGAAAGTCACGGTTGCGCCCGTGCAGGACGCGCGACTCGTGGCGGGCGAGCAGGTAGGAGTTGAGGACCTGCACCACCTCCTCCCACCGCGGCATCAGCACAGCCAGGTCGTGCAGGCGGCGCACGAGGTCGAGGGGCAGGTCTTGCCAGCCGTAGTGGTGGAAGACGTCCGGGCCCCAGGCGGCCACAATGGCCGACTGGCACCGCAGCTTCTGGCTCTCGCGGTCGCGCTTGTTGGTTGCGCGCTGGGCGACCTCGTCCAGTTCGGCCCAGCGTCGGGCTTCGCTCGCCGTCCGCAGCGCCGCGGGCTCGTCGGTCTGCAGCAGCGGGCGCAGGGCGGCGGCGATGTTGGCGGCGAGGCCATCCACGGCCAGGATCCGGTCGCGATATCTGCGATGCAGCGCCTGCACCTCATGCGCCCCACTGCACGCCCGCACATCGTGGTAGAAACCGGCCGCGAAGCGCAACACGGTAAGGTTGGGCGATGCGTCCGGACTCGACACGTCCAGCGTCAGGGCCAGCGACGACGCCATGGCCGGGGCGGAGGGGGCGGAGGGCGGAGGGCGATGGGGTATCGATAGCAAGAGACATGTGCGTGTGTAGGAGGGGAAGTGTGCGATGGGAGGGTCAGCAGTCGGCTGGATGCACGCCGTGACGGCTGACTAGCTCCCGTCGGCCGCTGTCTCCGCCGACCGCATCCGACGCTAATCCTGATATGGCTTAAGCGTCTCTGATCGGGCTACCTTCCTTAGTTCACCTTCGGTCTCTTCTCTCAGAGGCCGTGACAGCTGTCTTGAACTTCATGGCGCAGGATTTGGACGCATAATGGACGTTAGAGATTTGAACTTCAATTCATGATGCTCTGCAAATGGGTGCACGGCTACAGCTAGTCCTTCCCACGAATGATCAGATTTCGTGTACCGCAAACGAAGCGAATCGCGATCCTGGATCTATGAGACGGCGTTTGGGAGGCATCACATAGATCCCAATCCCGGGCTTATTTCAGCTTACCTTCTAGAAGTGGAGGCCCTGGAGTGTCTTGGGCTTGCACAAGGCGTGTCACGACAGATATTCCTCACTTTCAGAAACCCCTGGACGCCATGAGCGGGATTTCCCTCCAACTTTGGAAGAGTCCTATGAAGAACATACCCTTGTAATTCGATATATAGCTCGAGGTAAGGCGTGACATTACTGCTGTCATATACCCTCTACCTATGGGCTTCGACTATCAAGGCATATTACTACATATGTTCTCACTGTTGCTACAATGCCGTCGTCGGGTCGCTCATAAGAGATCGAAAGCTACTTATAATATTAATCGAGGGGGAACAAAAAATCCCGATGGTGCATACGTGGCAACGAGCGCTTTGAATTACTTAATATACATAGTTTCCGACAATATGAGGTACAGCGTATTTACATACTTTATGTGTTCTGAGTATAATCGTAGCCAGTCAGGGTAGCATACGTAAAGTACGTTCTTTGCAGGAATCTCAAAGTCGAAGAAAACTCCCGCTCGTGCCGTCCGAGGGTTCTTGAAAGCAAGAGTAGTATAAGAAAATCTTGCTTTGGCGGCGCCAGCACTACTCACGCGCTGGCGACGAAGGAAATACGTAGCTTACAACCTTTACGCGGCTCGAGTGCTGAAATTCGCATGCTGTACTGCCTGTAGTGCCATGCAATGAGTCGCATTTCTCAATAAGTGTCGGTCGAGGATAGCTCGTACATTAGCTTTGTCACAGAGCGGTCACACCATTTACATCGAGTCGCCACGATATCCTCGACGTCGCCCGGTCCACGAAGTCCACTCTCAACCAGTCGTCTACATGACTAGTAAGACAATCTACATGAGGTCGTCCATCTCATCAATATCAGTTCATCAGGGAGCCTCGTACTGTAGGAGTATGGGAGCTTTGGCCTACTACTAGCCGTCCACACTGACCGTGTCAATGGCAGATTCTGCCGACTAACTCGGCTCTCTTGAAGGTCGTTCTACATATTACACCCTCATATATACCCTTTCCCGGTCAAGACACCTCGCCAAACCCTGAAGTTGATGATTGGCTTCTACTGCTACGTGCACAATGTTGAAGATTGGCAGCGCCACATTTGCCACCCACTGGGGTATATAGGTCAGGCATGCTCCCACTTGATAGATCCATCAATCAACTCACCTTTG